GGTTATTGATAAATTTAAACAACACATAAGTAGGGCCAAGAGCCCACAGTATTGCAACATTAATGGAATGACGTCACAATGCTACGGGAAACCTATAACATTCTTGACCCCTCGACCTCGACAGTCGTGGTTCTACGGTGGGGCGCTTGTTTGATTGATTAACTGGAATGTCTCTTCCTGCGTCGTTCGCAGTGATTAGCTAAACATTTTCAATTCAACAGTGGCAGCACACAAGGTCGCACACATGGCCTGCTAATTAAAAGCCCAACCCACTAATTATTGCTGTTTTGATGAATGCTCATCAATCGCTAACGGACCTTCTGTCGACCGGTACCTTGGTTAGTTTTCCGTGAAATGTCATCACCTAAATGTAAATGGTGGCCTGACAATTGCTTCTCCATCAAACTCACTGACACTAATTTTTGACCAACGTTCAATTATCTCTTTTGTTCATTTCCTATAACTATGTCTAATTTCATAAGATAAGTCGATTAGTCATTTAAACCGGCAGTCATACATCCGACGGCCCATCTTTATGACAAAAAACCGCTATTTTGACTAGGTATGTATGGTAAAAATGCACTCCATACATAACTACATCAGGAAAAGCTTAACCGTGTAGGCCCTTCGCCTGACCTGTACGTTTTTGTTTAAATTAACACACAATTTTTGTTTTGATGCAAGACGTGAAATATAACACTTTCGATTCCCACGGCACGTGTGGCGTTCTAAGCATTTTCTTGCTTACACCGTTACACCTCTCACACGATTCAAACCTCACCGGTCGCTGTTATTTTCGCCTTTCAACGACACCATTCTCTAGTGATCATTCTCGGGCTCAGGTGCATCTAACGGTAATTTGGAAGTGAGATCCTTTTGGCTCTCCCGGTTTCGGCTCGACGAACAGAAACCCCAACATTTACGAATCCATCCTTTGGGAAGTCAATTTTTTGGCTACTTCTGACACGGATCTTTTAGCATATAAGTAAGTCGTATCGTTCCTATTTTGTACATACAAGACCGATTTTGCCAACCTGCTAGCGGTCGTTTCTGTTGCTGCTAGGGGGCACTGTCAAAAAGACCTGCAGGAGAATTTAGTGGGACCCTATAAATCACCCTGAAGGCTTCCTTGCGATCCAAACGATGCTCAGAATCAACAACTTGCGTGAGAATATCGCTGTTTGTGCCCCGGACTCCACATTTTCTCTGTCATGTCCTCTGGTGTTCTCTTTTCTTTTGGATAGGGGCCGACTCGTGCAATCAATATTTAAATGTATAAGGGTATAGAAAATAAATGCAAAAAATGTATGCTTCTTAAGTAGCCATTTTTACAGTGTATGCCTCTTGAAGGCAGCAAGAATGAAGCTCGTTCAAGAACCAGCATCTTGCCGTGACTGAAATATCTTGGGATTAAGTTGCATGATGATCCATATTACAACCCTAGTTAATTAATTTGCTTGCATTGAAAGCATATTTCGCAATTTCGGTTGACGCTTTTATGAGATAAGAAACCTACTGAAGTTATTCCCACGTTCTGCCGAAGACAGCAGTTAAACATAACGATCCGCGTATTTACTTCTTCTGCTTCTTCTGGATTTTAAAATGATGACAATGCATTTACATGAAATAATGAGCAGCAATCAGCCGATGTGATCTACTATGACCTTAGCAAAGTTTTTGATAAGGTGTCGCACAGGCGTATTCTAGTGAAACTAGAATCCTCTTCCTAGACTTCATTGGTCCCTACCTGTCTGTAGAATATTCGGATTTGATAATTAACCAGCCGATTAACACTAACGGGAGTATAAGCAACAACGTAACTTTTGTAAATTGAATCTACTAAGCTGCGCAAGAAATACGAGTTGAACATGCTACAAAAGTCATTGGAACACCCTAAAATACTGTATGGCTATATACGAAGCACCAAGAGATCTCAGGAACTGATCCCTTCCCTAAGATCAGCAGATGGACAGCTGACGACCGAAGACCAGGTGAAAGGG